TGGTTTTTTTTAATGATATGATTCATTTTATTACGATTTATTAAAAGTTATTCTTTCTGTTCTAAACACTTGTGTAAACTATTTGTTCGCTGTGAGCTGTTCATCGCGACGCAAGGGCATGATCTTGAAATATCGAACCTCGAAGAAAGTTCCAGATCAGCGGAAGGAACCTTATCAATGCATGCACTTTTCCACGCGACTGATACCGGAGATTGAGAGGGAAAGTGCCTCTCGAAACCTCGCCAATGGTCATTATTTTGAACTCTTAGCCAGCAAACAGAAACGTAAGGTCAGTGCGCTTTCTGCTGTTTCAAGATCGATGAACCGGCTCGAACAAGCCAATTCGCACGTGCCAACCCTTGGTCTACCTCTGGATCGCCATCGGCGAGGTCCAGATTCCATGGAATGTATGGCTACAGCGGCGTTTTGAAACCCGAAGTCATGATGGCAGGGTGGCATTACGGAGGAGCGGAGTTCGATTCCACTGAGGGAGCTATCTTTGCCTTAACCACAAATTCCGGTACGGGAATGACACCTTGTTGTTCCGGCTCAGTCAGCCGAGAAATAGTTTAACTAATAATGGCAGCATCGTAGTACGGCGTGGTCATATCAGAAGGACCAGGTATACACGCGAATGCAATAGGAAGCAGGCGCACGTTTTAGCTGCATTTCGCCTTCACCCGCCAGATAATTTACTACCACAATATGATAATAAGCATAAGGTATAACCCGGAATTCAGATTTCGATGTGAGGCAAAATCGTCGCATTTAATGTGAAAAGACCTGCTCTGACACTTTCAAGAGAAAGGTATGAAGTTTACCCATAATCTAGAATCTTTGTGCGATATTTTGTTGCTGCTAACAAAATCCATAAGAGTTTGTACTTGAAGCAAAGAATGCACAATATGGCGATCAAATGTACGAAACTGAATTTTTAGAGGTCAGAGTTTACAAACATGAGGAAATGATTGTTTTCCTTTGTTCCGCAATTAGCTTCTGTCCTGCGGAATGAAAATGTCTGTTATGTGTCCTGGTTGAAACATTTCTTAACTTACTCAACATATTTGAAAGTTCCAGACAGCAGATCTTGTTTCGAGTGCCATTGATGGATTGGTTCAATACGACTTGATCAGCACCGCTCAAAGTTTCCAAACAAATCGATCATACAATCCGTTACGACATGTAATATTTCGGTCCTGACGAGATCCTTTCTCTCAGATCTTTTTCGTTCCTCGTCATTCAGTTGCCCTCTCAAATGTGCTTCCTCATGGCTCAGTTGCCAAGACCTCTAATACAAATAAAAAGCTGTCAATCAACTTTTTTGGACTATTTTTTATATCGTACGCCCCTTACTTTGGCCAGTTCTTTCAAACGCCTTAAAAACATCGCCAGATCAAACAAAGGTTTTTTTACTTCCAATTCACCGAACGATACCTGTTTCAGCCAGCAGCTACCTTAATTCGAGAAATACTAACATAACAGAACATAACAATTTTACAACCTTAAATATCACCCGCGTTGTCATCGCTGCAGTGGTCATCATGCGCCACCACTATCGTTGTTGTGTCTTTGTTATCACCATGGGCAGCCCGAAGAAAGGTAACTTTTATTTTGATACTTTTTTCGTTTATATAATGCTAACTCAACCAATCGATGAATCACAAAACTCCTTATCGTAAATGGAGTCACTCGCTTTCCTCGTTGAAAGACAGTTAATGACAAATGGAAAGTGTCATTTCACTGTCATACGGGTTCATAGGTGCATGAATCTTGGATCACTGGGAACGGCCAGTAATTGGTCACGAATCACGCTGGCCCGTCATTCCTAGCGGTTACCAGCCTTCTCCCTCTAAGTTCGACCTTACCGGCTAAGGGCATAATTTTCCTTCCGTCAACACGGCCTAGTCCGCCCGCGAGGATACCGCTCAACGATCATCGCCGATAGTCTCCCTCCGGTCAGCTGAAGTAAGTGTTAGGCCAACTGCAGCTTTGTCTTCCTGCTTTCGACGACAGCGTCTTTCACTTCCATCCGTTGTCTGATCATTGTGTTGGGGACATGGTCGCGACGTGAAATTTCATACATTACGTAACGTGGCTTTCTCGTGACTTACAGCTGAAGTTCTTCGACTTTAGTGAGTGACCACATCTCACAGCCATATAACACTTCCGGCAGCACGGTTGAATAGAAGAGGTTGGGGTGGTTTCTTTCCTGATGTTGC